GGAACAATCATGTAACTTTTATATGTTAGGTGAAGATCAAAATTTAAAGGGGCCAGTGCTGTGGTATAGTGTGTTGGGCCTCTGCCTGTGGCACTAGTATCCTATATGGACACAGGTTCAAATCCCAGCTGCTCCGCTTTCTATCCAGCTCCCTGCTAATGGCCTGGGAAAGCAGTGGAGGATGGCCCAAGTGCTTGGGCTCCTGTACCTATGTGGGAGACCCATAGGAAGCTCCTGACTGCTGGCTTCAGATCAGCCCAACTCTGGCTGGTACAGCCATTTGGTGAGTGAACCAGCGGACGGAAGACCCCTTTCTCTCTCTTTAACTCTGCCTCCCAAATAAATAAATAAATCTTTTTAAAAAAAATATTAAAAAGACATACTTTAAAAAATACATAGGCAAGCATAAAATCTTGTTTTAAATATTTACTTTTTTAATGAAATTAGAACTTAAAAAATTGCTTGAGACACAGAGTAGGCTCCCATCTGCTGGTTCACTCCCCAAGTATCCACAGGAGGCCAGGCCAGGACTAGAGCCAGGACCCAGGAACACAGTCCAAGTCTTCCATGTAGGAGGCAGAAACCCAGTTGCTTGAGCCATCACCACTGCTTTCCAGCTTCTACATTCATGGGAAACTGGAGCAGGAATCATAGCTGGAAATCCAGTCCAGGCATGCCAGTATGGGATGTGAGTATCTTAACTGTTAGGCTAAATGAAGTGCCAGAATTTTTCTCTTTCCTAAAGAAAAGATAATTGAAAACATTGTGGGCTGTGAAACTAGAGTTTTGCCAAGTTAGGACATTTTAAGAATTTATTTATTAAAATTTCTTATTTCTATACAAATATTTTAATCTTATTAATTGAATAAAATGGTTGCCAAAGACCATTTTGTTTTTCATCTTATTGATGGCATAAAATTAATAAATAACCGGGGGTAGTCCTTTTGTGCAGAGATCAAGGTGTTTTGCCTGTTAAATCTGTGTACCTGGTTCTAGTCCCAGCTCTACTTCTGATTCTAGCTTCCTGCTAACACACATCCTAGGAGGCTGCAATGATGGCTCAAGTAGTTGGTTTCCCCTGCCAGGCTCAAGTAGTTGGGTTCCTGCCACCCAGGTGGGAGACTAAGTTCCTGGCTCCTTGCTTTGGCCTGGTCCAGCCCTGGCTATTGGAAACATTTGGGAAGTCAACCAAAGGATGGGAAGGCTCTGTCCCTTGCTTTTCAAGTAAACAGCTTAAAATTTTTAAAAGAAAGTAACTGTTATCAAAATTTCCAAAATGACATTAAATAAATAGAATAGATGATTTTTGGAGGCATGTTTTCCAGTTGAAAAGGTTTTTCGGTATTACATTTGGCATGAATGAATAATGGTTTGCATACTATTTCTGATTATTTCTCTTCTGGTCCAGTTAGTGTTTGTGAACTAGTCATATGTGGAACATATACATATTTTCATTGTCTATAGGAGCTGTGTGTTTTTTAACCTAACCTAATGGACAAGGCTGAAATCTCTACCCTGAAAAATTGCTAAATATTCTCCAGGTCTACTTTGTCTCTGAAGCTTTTCTTGATTAGCTAGTCAGAAACTATCTAATTTTTTCCATTCTTCAAGAATGTGTTGCTTTGTCATAAAACTCTTGGGATACCTGTGTTAGTCACCTCCCAAATTATAAATTGATGTCTTATGCATTACATCATCTACATTCATTTATGACCAGAAAGCACTAAACCCTTTATTTGTTTAATCATTTATTAGAGAGACAGAGATAAGAAGACAGAGCTGTGATGACTGGCTCACTCCCCAAATACCCACAGTGGCTGGGGTCAGGCCAGACAGAAGCCAGGAGCCAGGAACCCAATCCATGTTTTCCATGTGGATGGCCGTACCTAACCACCCAAGCCCTCATCTGCTGCCCCCCAAAGTGTACATCAACAGAGAGCTGGAGTCAGGAGCAGAACTGGGACTTGAACCCAGGCACTCTGATATGGGATGTGGGTGTCCCAACCAGCAGCTTAACCACTAGACCAAACGCCCATCCCCAAGCACTGTTGAAGGTGCGAGGGAATGGGGTCAGTGCTGTGGCGCAGCTGGTTAGCACCAGCCTGAAGCACTGACATCATATATGGATTCTAGTTCAAGTTCCACTACTTCACTTCCTGACCAGCTCTCTGCTAATGCACCCGGGGACACAGTGGAGTGTGGCCCACGGGTTTGGGCTCCTACACCCATGTGGGAGACTCAGATGAAGCTCCTGGCTCCTAGCCAGAAAATTTTTGCTTCTACCACTGGCCCAGCCCTGCCTCGCTGTTGTGGCAATTTGGGGAGTGAACCAGTGGATGGGAGATCTCTTTCTCTCTCTCTCTCTCTCTCTCTCTTTCAAATAAATAAATTTTTAAATTTTTTAAAAATATGAGGGAAATAGCATTTGAGGAGAGTCTAGGTTCCTGCGCAATTAATGTTTCAGTTTGGGAAACTATGATGAGAGAAACAAAATTAAATAAATATATAGATAGAACTTTTTAGATCTCCAATGCCAAAATTACAAAACATCACGAGATGGTAGATGGTTTGAGGACCTCACGAGTGTTGGTAAGGTGGTCTTGCAAAGTATCTTGGAACACAGGGCATTCATGTTGAAACCTTTGGGGATGTGGGAGCAGAGTTTTGCCAAGGCATGAGAGAGGAATGGGGACAGGTAGAAGTGTTGAGGGCAGGAGCTGGACTGTGCAGTGTAAGGCAAGGTAACAAATTTTAAAATTTATTCTCATTTCATTGGGAAGCCAGTGAATGACTTGAAGTTTTAAGTTCTCTTGTGATTACATTGGGTCTATCTGAGATAATCTTCCCATTTTGAAGATCAGCTAATTAATTACCTTAATTATATTTGTGAAGTTCCTTTACCACGTAATTATGGTATATTCACTAAAGCAGTACCCGGAACAGGCAAGTTACGGGCTCCTACAGGGTCTAGAGTTTTAACAAAATACTTCATTTAAGCCCTTGCTCTACTATTAGCCTGTCAGAACATCTTCATTGGAAGTCTTTTGTACTTAATTTAAAGTCATTCCTTAAACTCATGTTAATGCCAAAAATACTGGATGTACACCATTAAATATTAGATGAAATCAAATGTGGGCTCCACCCTTGAGATTTTTGTAGTCAGGATCAGTAAAGGAGTAACACATGCCATAACAGAGATAACAGTAGATAACAGAATGCAAATTCTGAAATTGTTAGACTCACCATTGTGGTGTGGTAGGCAGATTAATGGCTTAAAGATGTGCCTTATTCCCCAAAACCTGTGAATATGTTAGATTATGTGACTGAGCGGAATTAAGGTACCAGACATTGGAATGATTATTAAGAGTCTAACATAAGGGTCTTTAAAGTGGCTCCTTAAGAGTGAAAGAAGGTATAAGAAAATAAGGGAGAAGGAGGTACCACAGTAGCAACAAAGTCAGAGTCCTGCAGGGTGAGGGTCCAGCCCACCATTGCCAGCTGAGAAGGTGGAGGGAGGGGGCTGTGAGCACAGAGACAAGGACATAGACTGTCCTGCAGAGCCTCCAGGATGCTCTGTTTGGACTATTGGACTACAGAATGATCAGATTCTAAATCTGTGCCACTTAAAGCCACTAAATTTGTGGTAATTTATTGTGGCAACCACAGCCAAGTTAATACACTTAGGAAGTATTTTAGTGGAGGAACACTGATTAACATGCCCTTTAGGGCACTCTGTGATTAACCTCCAAACCTTCTGGATTCCACTGTCAGCAGTGGGAGGCCATGGAATGTTCTTGAACCGGAGTGTAGGAAACTATTTTGATGTCTGCTGATTAGAGAGGAAAGAGATTGAAGGATAAAAACTAAAATTCTGGGGCCGGCACTCTGGTATGCAGGTGAAGTCACTGCTTGTAGTGCCAGCATCCCATATGGGTGCCAGTTCAAGTTCTAGCTGCTCCACTTCCAATTCAACTCTCTGTTATGGCCTGGGAAAGCAGTGGAAGATGGGAGACCAGGGGTGCAGGGCCCAAGCACTTGGGCCATCCTCCACTGCACTCCCGGGCCACAGCAGAGAGCTGGCCTGGAAGAGGGGCAACCGGGACAGAATCCAGCGCCCCGACCCGGACTAGAACCTGGAGTGCTGGCGCCGCAAGGCGGAGGATTAGCCTAGTGAGCCGCGGTGCCGGCCTAAACTAAAGTCTTAAGTTAGACAAAATAGGTCTTGTGAAAAATGGAATGCTAGATTTTAGACAATAAGGATTCTATTAATCCTATTTTGTCAGTCTTTTTATATTTTTAAAAGCCGAAAGAGATTCAGAAGGCTTTTTAAAAGTGAATTATGTATTCATATTTATGAAATTTTCTTTTAGAGTTGATCATAATGAACACTGATATTTGAAATAGAGGATGTTTGTTAGTACAACCTTAAAACAACCTTAATATAAAATTTACTTCATTGTGATCAGAAAATATCTTTAGTACATAGACATGTATCGTGTAAGTGGCTAGATGTTTGCTTAATTACGGATAACGTGTGCAAACCTGTGAACACAAATTCAGTTAAGACTTCATTGTATTCAAATATGGCCCAGTATATTTTGATTGTATATTTTTTATTTATTTATTTTTTGGACAGGCAGAGTTAGACAGAGAGAGAGACAGAGAGAAAGGTCTTCCTTTTTTCCGTTGGTTCACCCCCCAAATGGCCACTACGGCTGGCGCGCTTCGACCAGCGTGCTGCGCCCATCCAAAGCCAGGAGCCAGGTGCTTCCTCCTGGTCTCCCATGCGGGTGCAGGGCCCAAGCACTTGGGCCATCCTCCACTGTCTTCCCGAGCCACAGCAGAGAGCTGGACTGGAAGAGGAACAACCGGGACAGGATCCGGCGCCCCAACCGGGACTAGAACTTGGGGTGCTGGGGCCTCGGGCAGAGGATTAGCCAAGTGAGCCATGGCGCTGGCGATTGTAACTTTTAACTTTTTTTAACTATAGTTTTTAAAATAGCTGATTTTTTTAAAAAAGATTTATTTATTTATTTATTTGAAAGAGTTACACAGAGAGAGAAGAGGCGGAGAGAGGCAGGTCTTCTATCCCCTGGTTCACTCTCCAGTTGGCTGCAACAGCCAGAGCTGTGCCGATCTGAAGCCAGGAGCTTCTTCCCATGCAGGGGCAGGGGCCCGAGGAACCTGGGCCATCTTCTGCTGTCCCAGGCCATAGCAGAGAGCTGGATCAGAAGTGGAGCAGCCTGAACTTAAACCGGTGTCCATATGGGATGCCGGCATTGCAGACGGCAGCTTGACCCACTGTGCCACAGCGCCGGCCCCTGAATTTATTTTTAAACATAGGATTCAAAGCACACTTCTGTGGAAGTACTAAGAAAACTGGTTTGAACAATCTTAGTAATTCAGTTGACATCATTATAAAATGTCGAGTTTTTAGATTGTCCTGGTTTTGTATTTGAGGCATGATGGTTAATGAACATGTAATGGTCATATAACTCTCTGTAAAACTTTGTTGTTTAAATTACTAACTGATTTCTACAACATAGCTAGTTAAAAATTAGACAAATAGTTTGGCTACAAACTGGCTTACCACATAATAGCTTGAGCCATTGTTTGGGTCAAGAGTGATAGACTTAGTTGTATCTTACAATCTAAGAAGTAATATATTTTGGGGAGTTTTTGAAATATATTCTTTGTTTTGAGAGGAACTTCCTCTTTCTGGAAGTTCTGGCTCTGAGAAATGATCTAGTCTGAGTTTGTCACAAGTAATCAGTGACTGTATAAATAATTAAGTCCTGTGCTGTGAGTCATGCACTTTAAGAAAGGATTCTGAAAGCCTTTGTAAAATGAATTCATTCTCATCAGAGATTGAGGATACAGTCAGGTTGATTTACATATTTGCTTATTTCAAATATGAAGGGAAATTGCTTCTAAATGTATTTAGACTTTAGAATATTGTTTCTTGTTTTTAAAAAAATATTTATTATTTGATTTGAAAGAGCTACCAGAGAGAGAGAAGAATAGGCAGAGGGGGAGAGTGGTCTTCATCCACTGATTCACTCCCCAACTGGCTTCAACAGCCGGAGCCGTGCCCGATCCGCAGCCAGGAGCCAGGAGCCTCCTCTGGGTCTCCCACCCAGGTGCAGGGGCCCAAGCTCTTGGTCCATCTTCTACTGCTTTCCCAGGCCAAAGCAGAGAGCTGGATCGGAAGTGGAGCAGCCTGGACTCAAACCAGCGTCCATATGGGATGCCGGCACTGCAAGGCGGCGGCTTTACCAGCTGTGCCACAGCGTCAGCTCCTAGAATATAGTGTTTCTAGTTACAGTATTATTTGGTCAGTGTTGAAGTCATTCATTTGCTTATTCAACACGTCTTTAAGACATTTGCTACACACGCATGCCAGGCATTATAAGAGACTAATTTAAAAAAATCCAGAAACCCAAAGGAGAAGCAGAAATCACCCTATAATCTTACCTTCCAAGGATTGCCTCTATGAACTGCCTCACATACGCTAATAGCTTCTTTTCATATATGAGAGAAATTTAGAATAGAGAGTAGTAAACGTACCTCATTTAAAACCCTGAAGCCTGGTATCTTTAAATTTAAATAGATACTGTAATCCCCCCCCCCCACACACACACACAACAGGGCTTAACCTCTTGGGGATGTGGATTTCCCTCCTGATTTGTAAATTAGTCCTGTGAGCGCACGTGGTTACATCGGATGGGCTATAGAATTTGCACTGAGGTGTTCCAGGTCAGCCTTAGGTTGGTGACTGACAGATGGACTGTGTGAGGATCTGAAAGCGCTCGCGTGTGAGCGCGCTGTTCCCTTCTGGAAGGGCGCAGACTGTCGCCGAGGTGGAGGGACCCAGGCCGGGTGGCTCCGGGTCCTGACCACGGCCTTTCTGGGAACTGTATTTGTAATTCACGCATCATTCGCGTGACTAACCAGTCAGTGACTTCCAATAGAAAATTACTCATTGTAATTATTTAACAGAATCGTAGGCTGCGGACATGGGCGTCCTGGCACAGGAGATGTCCTTTATCACTGCCACCCCACCCCCATCACGGGGGCGCCCGGGAGGCCTGCGCGGCAGGGCGGGTCCGAGCCGGCCGGGCAGAGCGAGCGAGCGGCCGGGCCGTGGAGTCCGTGGACGCGTCTCCGGGCGCTCCGCTCCGCGGCCGGCTGCCGATTGGCTGCGCGCGGGCACACGTGACCGACATGTGGCTGTATTGGCGCAGCCCGCCCGGGTGCCGCTGGAGACGGAATGGAGGTGCTGCCGAGCTTGGAAATGGGGTAGGTGCTGGAGCCAAGGTGGCCAGGCAGGCTGCGGGGGAGGGGAGCCGCGTCCCCTCGCCTGCCTGAGCGCGAGCGCTGGCCTGGCCGCGGCCACGGCTGCGCCTAGCGGGGAGGGGGGGCAGGGGCGTCGCCCCCACCCCTGCTGCAGGGGGATGGCTTTCCTGCGCCTGCATCCAGGGTTTTGACAGAAGAGGAAGGAGGGGGAGGGGGAGAAGTTCAGGGGAGTCTGCTGGCTTTGCAGCTGGAAGGGGTTTTGTTTTAGGCTGCCTGTTGACCGAGTAGTGTGGAATAGCAGTATCTAAGGAGACGGTGGAGGACGACAAAGAATGGAGCACATTCATGGCGAGGAGCGCAGGCTCCAGCCCTCTGAAAGGCTTCCTTCCTCCCTGGCCCAAGGACGCGTGCAGTGGTAGCCAAGAGGGGACACAAAGCTGCTGCTGATGGCTGACTTCAGTGCAGCCAGTATAGGGGCTGCCGGGCTGGGGAAGGGGAGGACGCAGGCTTGGCGCCTGGAGGTGTTTGGGGTCGGCTGGTGAGGTCTTGTCGCCAGGAGCGTGCTGCCTTTTACGGAACATCCAAGTGGACTGCTCGTGTTGGGAAAGGTGCGGTGCCTTTGTTAGTCAGGGAGTGCAGCGTCGTGGCTGCTTGCGGATGACTGCAGCGTTGCTTTCCCCGTCAGGCTGCGGAGGAAGAGGCAGCCTTGCAGCAGATGCTGGGGTAGAAGGCCGCTGACCAGAGCCGTCCTGTATCACTGCGGCCTGAAGAGGAAAACATCGTGCCTGCTTTTTACAGTAGGCAGGAGGCCAGGTTACGAGTAGGTGACAGGGGAATGTATAGGACGCTTTGATTCTGTGTCACAAAAGAGATGCTCAGATGTTTGACTTAACATAAATCCTGTAGGAAACCTTAATAAATTATGTATGAAATAGTGAATCTTATTTGTTGGTAGTAGCTTTTATGCCATTAATTAGGTCATTCAAGAGCAAATCATTTTATAATGCAAATTTCTTTGTGAAAAATAATGACAAATTTTCATAAGCCTAGTATCTAAAATCTGTATTAAGTAATTTTATATTTCTCTTGGCTACTTTAAATATCACTGAATGACGTACAGGCAAATATTTTAAATAAAATACCATAGCTTTTTTTTAAGGATGTGCTTCTATTTAGTGAATACTTTTGATGTGAAGTGTTTTTCATTGTACTTATTTACCCCTTTATTTAAATGTCTAAAAAAATGTGTGTTTTCAGATTGAGTGTAGTTTTAAATGCCAGTCTTTATGCATATTCATGGTAACCAGCCTGCCATGCCACCCTGCTCCCTGAAGGAGGATGGCAAGGGCTTTGCAAAGCCCTCCACATCAGTGACGGTGCCTCTTACATAGCATTTGTGGAGTAGAAGGTCTGAAGAGAACTTACAGTTTTGTCTCAGTAACTTTTTCAAGATAATAAGGAATTGGACTTGAATAAATAGAACTATAAATTGTTAATTGATAAAATAATTTTACTCTTTTAAAAAAATTTCTGTTTTACTGATTACCTCATGATAGATCTTGGGAATAATAGTACTTAGGGTCTGTTTTAAATCTGAGAGAAACTTGACTGGAATTAAAAGATGGCACCTTGAAACTCCAAATGAAATTTGATAACTAATACTATTCAAGTCCTTGAATCTCAATTAGTATAATTCCTGAGAATCTGCAAAATTCTTATTTTTACATAAATTAATTCATTTTACCATTTAAGCAGCTCAGTGTTGGATTATTTTCATTCTAAATGTTAAAATACTCCTAATCAGATATCTTGTGACTTTATCCAGGGTCATGTATTGTATAAGAATGTGAAGAACTTAGCTTTTCTATTTTATTTTAATCCTATAAAACTATTTTATAATGCTGCTTACTACCTAGAAAAATAATATATAACAGAAATGATTTGAAAAGCAATGGGAAAAATTTAAAAAGAATTTTAAAAAAGCAATGGAAATCAGTGACAAATCACTCATCAAAAAAAAAACGTACTTGGTAGTAGATTTTTAACTACAGAATGTTTTATAAAATACTGGTTAACTAAGCAAATAGGCAGCAGTTTTCATAATATTCCTAAATTTACTTTTAAAAAGTCATCTTATTAATCACATGAGTACTTTTGAATAGAATAACAGTAGACTGAGATATTTTTCCAAATAAGAATTAGGGCAGATAGTGTGGCACAGAGGGTTAACCTACCATGTGGCATCTGGCATCCCATTTGGGCCCGGATCAAGACCCACTTCTGCTTCTGACCAGCTCCCTGCTTATGCATGTGTGAGGCAGCAGAAGATGGCCCAAGTTCTTGGGTTCTAGCCACCACGTGGGAGACCTGAATGGAGTTCCTGGCTCCAGGCTTCAACCTTTTCTAGCCCTGGCTGTTGTGGACATTTGGGGAGTCAACAGTGGATGGATGGTGTGTCTCTGTCTCTTCCTCTCTGTCACTCTGCCCTTGAAATAAATAAATCTTTAAAGAAATTAAGAAGTAAATAACTAAAGACATGTTGATTTTATTCTTTACATATATAAAATAATCTATGCTTGAGCTGTTGGCTTTAGGAGTCTTTGAAATTATCTGTTGTTAATCAACTTTAGCCAGAATTATGTGATTAAGGAATTCAAGTTAAATATTCATAAGTATACTTTATGAATGGAGTCAGAATTATTGATGTTTTTCAGTTGCATTAATTGTTCAGTAGATTTCTTTATTAAAGAAAGAGACAGAAGCTGATAGAGGGAGCTCCCATCCCCTGATTCACTCCCTGAATGCCTACAGGAGTTAGAACTAGCCAGGCTGGAGCCGAAAGCCAGGAATTCAGTCAGTCTCCCATGTCAGTGGCAGGAGCCCCATCACTTGAGCCATTGCTCTGCCTCCCCAGGTCTGCATTAGCAAGAAACCGGAGTCAGGAGCCAGAGCTGGGTGCTCCAGCTACTCCAGGCACTCCATTAAGGGACACGGGCTTCTCAACTAGTAGGCCAAATGTCCACCCCACTCAGTGGGGTTTTGTTTTTACCATTTTCCCCATTTTGTACTGTAACTACTTTCACACAATTTAATCATTTTTATATAAATTTAAATAAATGTCTTCTTCAATTTTGATTTCCATCTTTTTTTGTGTGTTAGAGTGTGAGTAAAACCTGTCTACACAAGCACATAAGATGGGATGCTGCATTATGGTTTAGAAAAGATGAATAACACTTGAAGAAATACATTCACTATATTTTTGAGTACTTATTAAATGGCATGATGCTGAAGAGTCAAAGAAAATGTGGAAACTAACCTCTAAGAAACTTGTGATAGAACTAGTTGAAGTTGTATTGCAAAGCAACGCTGATTGCTTTGATTACTCTTAGGATCTTTAAGTTTATACAACATAAAATATCTTCCAATTCAGAGAAATATGATGGATTGCTTTTTGAAGCACTGTGCCTTTGCATAAAATTTGCCTGGAATCACATATATTTTGAAAAGTTAATTACTTTTGAAGTATGTGCGCTGAGAAGGTTAATTGAAGTGATTTCTACACCCTTTTGCTCTAACAGTCAGTGATACAAGTCTGGGTCTTTGCAGGTTGACTGTTACAAAGGAAAGGTATGCCAGCCCTCGTTTGGTGTAGGGGGCATCTCGTGTTCTCAGAAATCGTTTTGTAAAGCAAGTCATGGCATCGTGAGTCTGCACATGGCAGCCTTCTCCCCTTTGTTCCCTGACCACTTCTGCTTCCCTTATGCGCACACTCAGATGTGTTCTTAAATACGCATGAATTCTTGTGAAGTGCTTAGCATCATTTGTATGTCTGTTTTTGTACAGTTTGTGAAGTTTTCAAAAGGTTTTTAATGATAAAATATAAGAGTCAACATTCCTAACCATTTTTAAAAGTACAATTCTGTGGCATTAAAAATCTTCACAGGGCTGCTTTGTGGCACCGCGGTTAAGCTGCTGCCTGGGATAACCACATCTCGTATCAGAGTGCCAGTTCTTGTCTCAGCTACTCCATTTCCAGTCCAGCTTCCTAATGCATCTGGAGGTAGTAGATGATAGCTCAAATGCTTGGGCCCCTGCCATCCATTTGGGAGACCTGAATGGAGTTCCTAGCTCCATGCTTTGGCCTTGGCCAGCACTGACTGTCGCTCACATTTGTCAAGTATACCAGCAGATGGAAGACCCTCTGTGTGTGTCTCTGTCTCTCTGTTGCTGTGCCTTTCAAGTAGATGAAAATAAATAAACTTTTAAAAAATACATTCACCTTCATCTGAAGCCATCACTACCATCCCATTTCCAGAACGGTTTAATCTTCCCTAGCTGAAATTCTGTATGCATTGGACAGTAACTCCCCATTTCTCCGTCCCCTAATCCCTGGCAGTCACCACAACTCTTTCTCTCCTCTGCATTTTCTTTTAATTTAGTTTTGTTTGAAAGCCAGAGCCAGGTATTGAACCCAGGTATTTCAGTTTGGGATGTGGTCTCTTCACTGGTGTCTGTAGTCTAGGTGCTTACCCCTACATCTTTGTGAATGTGACTACTCTAGCAACCTCATCGTATAAGAAGAATCATACAATATTTATCCATTTGTGACTGGCTTTTTTCATTTAGCATAGTGTCTTAAAGTGCATCCATGTTACAGCATGTGTCAGAATTTCCTTTTGAAGGCTAATGTTCCATTTCATATTTATATCACATTTTGTTTATCCCTTGATCTGTCAAGGACTCTTCTGTTGCTTCCATCTTTTCTGTGGCTTCTGTCTTTTTTCGATTGTGAATAACGCTCCTGTGTATTTGCTATAGGAATACAATCTTGAAGGCCCTGCTTTTGCTGTTCTAAGTGCCCAAGACTGTTTTGTTTTGTTCTGACATGTTTTCTGACATGTTTTCGTCTGTTTGAGAGACAGAGAGAGAGGGAAAGGCAGAGTACTCCTATCTTGGGATTCACTCCCCAAATGCCTGCAGTGGTGTGGCTGAGCCTGGGCCAA